AACCAATTAAAAAAATTTATATTTGCTATTTTGAATAAGAAATCATTATTTTTCTGAAGTATATAAATTTTTGGAAGCCTCCTTTATTTAAAAAAAAATTATTTGGTAAAGATTTTCCACCAAATATTTCTGCTATATTTTCTTAAACTTCGTAAGACAAAGAGGGAAAATCACTGAGTCGACCTCCAATATGGCGGCCAACGGGAGGTAACTTTCGCTAAATTCAGGCCTATCGAAAACTATCTATTAATAAGCTGTTCAAAGGCTTCTGAACTTGAAAGAAATTAAGAAAAATACTCACCTGAAAAATGTCTGATACGTTTTCAATATCTAGGCGGAGTAGTTGCAGTGATATGCTCTCGATAGGATCATTCCATAACTCAATGAAGTTTTTACCGATCGTGAGAAAGATGCTAAGAGAGGCGTCACCAACTACCTGGTACTGCATTAAGAAGCAATAGGCGCCCTGAGTATTGTTGATTAACGGGGATTTTAAAGTAGATTGTTGATGATTACAGTTTTTTGAAATATATACCAGCGCCTTTCCTGCAAAATAATAAGAAGAAATACTAGTACTACATGTATGTCTTCTTTTAATATTTCCAAGTATGTATGCCTAATACTACTATTACTATCACTAATAATAATTATAAGAAAAATAATAGCACGGTTAGGAACAATAATTTATTAATCAAATTGCATCTTTTATACGTTGATAACTTTCTCGGAATAAAATGACAACACATACTTACATATAAACTAATAAACACAAGGCTATATGTTAGAAATCAACCTTAAAAAAAACCTGAACAAATTTCAAATTATTAAATGATTATTTGCTGCTTACGTCAAGAAGAGACGTCATCATATACCTGTTGGGGCTGTGAGAGATTACATGTATGCCTTTGCTGTTCTTGAGAAAGACATTTTTTAAACAATCCTAATGTATATATTTCTATGTAAAACTTTTGGGTCCTCCATAGCATGTGGTTTTTACGTATATAGACAAAAATACACTACCTGAAGATGCCTCCATACAAGTATGACCAATCATGACTTTGTTATTCTTGAGAAGATTTTAATAGATTTTAAATTCCTACACATTTCTTTAAAAACTCCTTGTGGCGCCACCCTACCCGATGTAATGATTTGAACAAACTTGAATGTAAACTACCCGAGGTTGCTTCCATACAAAAATATAATCAATCATGGCTTTGCTGTTCTTGAGAAAATTTTATAGATTTTTCCTACAAATTTCTTTTCATACTCGATCATTCCTAGTGGCCCCCACCGTATACTCGTTCCACTGCATAAGTTTCCTATTTCCTGGCACAGTGTTTCTTGAGGATATCTTTTGAAAATGCCACAAAATTTTCACTATCTTTTTAATCATGCCCCTTTGAATGAAAGCATTGTCCTTTATTGAAAAAAAAAATCTGAATTCCCTTCACGCAAGGATGCTTTGTGGCAAGTTAGTTTGGAATTGCTCATTAGTAGTTCTTGATAAAAAAAAAGTCAAAATGTAAAAAATGTACAGACATGGACAGCTAGACGGACGACGGACAAAATGTGATCAGAAATGCTCACTTTAGCTTCCATTTCATTTGAGCTAAAACTAGTGAATTATCAAAAGCTGACATAGACTCACCTTGTGGAAGATCTGATAAACTGCCATTGGCATCCAAATTTACCCAACATGATTCCCTTATCCAAACGCAAGTAAATTTGTCGAAACCACAAGCAAGAAAATAGTAATCTACAAAAAAGTCATTACTAACTTAATTTATATCGATAAATTATGTAGACTTTAATTTAAGACTTGAATACACAGAAGGCAAGTGATATTCAAGTTAAAACTCGACATTATTCACTTTATTCGCTAGATTTTTAATAACATTTTGATCAGCTTTCTTTTCTACAAAATGGAAAGTGTAGATGTACATACCAACTATATCATTATCTGTAAAATAAAAGGAAAACATTATATACTTTTCTATAATACCGTATAAGTGGAAATTTTAGCGAGACGCAAATTTGGCGATTACTACCTTAAATGTGGTACTTTATTTTTAGCGAGAGATATTTTTAGCGATTTTAAAATGCTAACTAAAGAAGCTATTACAAATAATACGCAATTAATTTTTAGTGATATTAAATTCTAGCGATGTCAGCACCCTCGCTAATAATGCCAAAATTAAATCCTCGCTAAAAATTCTACTAATACGGTATAACAAATTAAAAAAAAAACAATCGTTGGCTACTGTTTTATGTAAAACTTTCTCTCAGCAATAATAAGAAACGAATAAACTCTTTGATTAATGATAATTAAGACCGCGGAACATTAACTGGCAAAATTGGAAATATACAGCTTACGTCATTTCTATCTGTTACAATCAAAACATTCAGTGATGGGCGGGTACAATTCGACGCGGACGTTTGGAAAACATCGGATTGAAATAGCAGATCGAAATTCATTTTCAATCCACCTGAGCTGTTTTCAAAGCAAAGAGTGAATGTATGATCCAAAAATCAACTATATTTCAACATTAATATGAGTTTTAGCTTATAATTTTAAGAACGCGAAATATCATACAGGACAAAGATTTTTTTCAGGAGATATTTGATTCTAGAAAGGGGGGGGGGGTAAAAAAGGTCATGGCTTAACATGACAATATATTTTTATTTCTAGGATTATATGAGTGCATGAGTCTTATACTTATTCTCACTGAAAACTGTTGGACAACTTTATTTAAAAATCGTTCACCCCCCCCCCCCAACCACCAACACAAAGATATACATATATTTAACAAACAGAAATGAATTATTTCTCCCTTAAATATTTTTTACATTTAAAGCACTGGACAAAAAAATTCAAACTGTACCAAAATTGAAATTATTTGTCTTCTGAGTAAATAAGTAATAATGTGCCTTCTAGCGTAGCTTAGGTGGATTGAAAATGAATTTCGATCTGCAATTTCAATCCCATGTTTTCCAAACGTCCGCGTCGAATTGTACCCGCCCATTTCGTTGTCTATCACTGAATGTTTTGATTGTAACAGATAGAAATGACGTAAGCTGTATATTTCCAATTTTGCCAGTTAATGTTCCGCGGTCTTAAAAATTAAGTGCATTATTGAGCATTTTTTTCTTTGATTTTGATTTATACATACTCAATAAAAAAAAGAAACGCATATTGTTTTACTCCTCAAAGAAATTTTGAAAAAGTATATGGAACAACTACCTTTTTAATCATTGTAAACCTGTGATCTATTAAAGGACAACATGGGGTTTTTAAAACCCACGTGTTGAATAATTTTCCTTGATTTATCATGCTTGTGAAAACAGTGTTTTTTATGATTTCTTGTAAAACGATGGTCTATTTTCATTGCTTTTTGGATTTAGTGAAACAATAAGCACTCCTATTAAACCCATATTTAAGATTTGATTGCAATGCTGATGCAGCAATGACACGCCATAACAAAGATGACCGCAACTGGGCTAACGATGATGCTAACCGGAGCTATGCAACAGGAGGTTACAACTGCATTTCGTGTACGTCAATCGGCTTTGCAGCGGTAAAACCTACGTCTCCAACAACTAAGATCACGGATGAAAGACCAAGAACTGGCCGTCAACGGATAACCACGCCCGGACAGAACTGTCAGCTCCCCCTTCAGCAATCATTTCAGAAATGCTGCAGAAAATGCTGCTACAATTACTGGTTGAAGAAATCAGCATAAAAGTGCACAAATTGTTCGCAAGAGACTGAGAGGAGCTGGTATCCGTCCATGACATCCGCACATTGGAAACCCGCTAGTGCTGAGACGTCACAAAGGACATATCGATTAGTATGCCCCTAGAATTTGGGGGCGATGAAAATGACATCAAATTAACTTTTCAATTCGCAACATAAGACATGTTTGATTTTTATCACAACACAATTTAAAATCACTTGAAATAAATAAGGTTTAAACTGAAAACTTACATTATCAAGTTTAATCTGAATATATACATTTCTTTTTTGTTGAGTATATAAAAGGTGCTCACAGGTTTATGATATTTTCAAGATTTAATTTTAATGATGCTTTATATCGATAGCTTTTTTTTAAAAGGTGTAACAGGGCCTAAATGCTGGACTCTGAAAAAAAAAATCATGTTTCATTCAAACTGTCATTTTCCATTAAATATTAGGAAAATAAGTAACAAATCATAGAGTTTTGTCCGTTTTCGATCTAATTAAATAGACCTACAATGCATACAATCTCTTCAAAAACGGCGTTAAACCAGTTCTTGACCTTTTCTTTAAAATGATGTCTAATTGAATTTAGGTACTGGGACGAGTTTTCCAATGATTTAATATAAAATTTCATTAAATGTCTTCATTTTCTATTTACATCCTGAAAACTATAAACTACTGGAAACTGATTCTGTCAAAACAGTTATGATGTCATAACTGGTCTAGCACCAAAAGGAACACTCTTGAATCATAATTTTACTATTATAATATCTTGACCTTTTGTAATGATTTCTTTTAACAGATATATTTTTTTCTCCTTTCTTGAGATGTTAAATGTCTATATTTTGCCAATAGGCTTGCTCAAAAAGAGGCAAATTCAGACGACAACATATATCTCTTTTGAACACAGTTGTTTCTTGTCATAGCTATAACCAGACGACTTTGTATGCAAATTTGAGAGGGTAAAAGTAGTCCTGTTTGCACAAAACCGTTGTTTAACCTCACCATTATACTGTCAAGTTTATAGGTAGTTAGAATTTTCATTTAATACTTACTTAGTAGTATACCTGAAATATCAATATAAAATGTATATAAATATTCTTTCCTCAATTATCCATTAGAATAATAAATATATTGAAGCTTTATAGTTAAATGAGACCATGGTTTAAAATGTCTTATAGAATTGAAAAGAAATAATCCTAGCTTCAGTTGTCTGCAGTGGATATATTAGGACACGAAGGATTGATTTTTTTTTCTTCAGAAATCAGCTGTATTTCTAATAGACTTCAATTCAAAAAGGCAACTTGAATATTTTTTTACCAGTTAAAGCAGTGGAAAGTTGCCACAATATGTATGAAGGATTTTGTTTAAAATTACACAGAGAACGACATAAAATTGCATATTTAAGCACCAAATAAAACTTAAGATTTCTTTATATTTTATTATTTCTTTATTTATTCATTACTTGTGTCATTTCTATTCAAAATTTGTCAAAAGATATATAAATGTACCAATCTAAGCATCAAATTTTTGTGCTATGTGTCTATAATTTCTTTGATATATTGATTTCTAGATATTTTCCGACACAAACTTTAATACTTGATATAGAAGTATAATTTTACGAGTATATTACAACGTTAAAGGTGATGATAAATATAATAAGTACAAATACTTACCAGTTTGAGTTATATCACCCATGTTTGATCCTATGAAGAGAATATATTTTCTTGGATAAATATGTTTCTTTTCTTTATGGGTTCTTAATTGAGCTAAGCAGTGAGAATTTTCAAAATTATATATCAGGTGCTTAAAATAAAAATAAATAACCACATATTCATTTTTTTCTGCGAATATTTTGACACATTTCTTCTCCTAAGAAATATATTTAGAATTCGAAGCCATAAATCCTTCGGTATGTATTTTTAAAAAGCCTAAATCGCACAAATTATAATTCTCTCTTCATTTGCAGTGAACATATCCATTAACATTACTTTTTTCGGGAAAAAATCTCCCTGAAACTTAGTGTTATGAATGAAAATTTGGAAAGCGTTGCATGTATAGGAAAAACGTTTTGAAAAATATTACCTTCCTTTTCGGCATTTTCTTGCTTTTCTTGTTGATCATAGAAGTACTCTGTATATCGTAGAAATATATAAAAATCAAAATGTTCATATTACTGAGGAATTGTAGTTTTAAACGAAAATAAATATCGAACTTTATTTTTAATTTTCAAATAGAAAAATTAAATTGAATACATTGACACACTATTGTTAATAATCACAGATAAATATTTCCATTTTCCAACTTTGCTTTCTTAAAAAAAATAATTTGATAAATTATTAGAGACTTTATGTCAGCATAATACCCGCCATATCTGCAGACATAGTAGACGTCAAGAATTCTGCAAATAAAATAAATATGTTTGAGTTTTGAATACCATCAAATTAAACTTGTAAGACATTTATACAAATATTTTGTTAAAGATGAATGAGATTTCAACAGACTCATTATTCAAAAAAATAGTATGGTCGTTATAATACCATAGCTAGCAAATATGACGAAGACAGTGTATCCGTAATTTGAGTGACTTTTTTCATACTTAATTTGTAAGACCTTTTGTTTTGACTGATAAAGGTTAGATCAATAATTAAAATAGGGCTAACGTTTATACTGAATTGACTAATTATTATAAGTTACATGCAGGTCAGTATAAATAGGGCTCACGGCAGATGTGACCAGTCATCATGGGATCGATACTAATCCTACACTTCTGGAATGTCTAGAGGTCGGCGTTTTATACCCTCTTCACATATATATGCTTTTCTTATGGATTTTTTTATGTCGATCATTATTCCTTATCTTTACCTTCTAATTTCCACAAGAAATCCTACAGAATTCTGGAAAAAAATTCTATTGGATTCTTATGTAAAATGACAGGCAATTGCACCGTACCTAAAGAAGACGTATCTGCTTGTCCCTGTTGGCCTTGATCACCAGCGACAGAAACATCACATGGTTTTTGACTAGTCTCTAAAATTTAACAGTGAAAAAAAAAAACTTTAGGCAAAAAGTTATTTCAATCAGTAATTTAAATTTCCGTATCGAGGCTTATTGGTCATGTTGTTCTAATTAAATACCTATGTATACCTAATTGTTGGTACACCAAGATTCCTCCACCTGCTCCAACTGCTAGAGATATAATAGCCACAAGTATTAAAGGGATGTAGGCCTGTTTGTTGAAGTTTTTCTTTTCTTCTAATGGTGGCATCTGATATTTGGCGTCCTCATTTGCATCGTTTATAGCCGCTTCTACACAAATGAAATCAAATGATAACGTAATTAACGCATATATTCACGATCGGTAGCTACTTCTCAAATATGACGGTTTTGATGTCTTACCTTTGGCTTTTTGAGAGGACTCATTAGACTCGGACATACCTCTGGTGTTATCAACCTATGTAATATAAAAATACCCATTATTATCTAGATTATATCACGTTGCCCATGTTACAAGTACAATGTATTTGTTTATTAAAACTTTACTAAACTTAGATAATACAGGTTGTCCCATAATATATGATACCATTTGAAATTATTGTAAGAAACGCATGTCTCGACTAATTTCTTTGATATTTGTCTCATTTAATATTTGACTAAATATAAGTTTTAGCAACAGAATATGTCATTAAAAAATTTCCAACAGTCGGAATAATATACACACAAAATTACGTCCAGAAATTACTTAAAATTGCATTTCAAGGAAAATGGATTTATCAAGCAAGCTATGTATCCTCGTTTCAAAACTGTAATTATCAAATGCAATCTTAGTATATGGATACTTAACCTAAATCTAAATCCTTAATTTATCTATAAAGGTAAATTTCCGATGAAAATCCAGATTATAACTAAACAGAAATGCACTGTTGTCTTATGTTACGGAATTTTGTGCAATGTCTTGATGACATGATCATTACCTTGATTGGACGTCATTTAGAGGGCATCATTTAAAAACGATAGCAATTTTCAACGTTAACTATTTTTTTCGTTTTCCTTTCAATGTTCGTCAAATTTTGTGAATAAAATTGGGCAATATATGAAATGTTTATAGTGTATTTATTGTTCTTCAATATTCCTTTTATTATTTTTACACAATCATGAAATGGTATAATATATTCTGGGACTCCCTGTATATCCATACGTGCAACAAATTTCAATTGCCATTTAAGAATTTTTTTTTTTTTCGTGCCTCTCTTTCAAAGTAAAAAGCAATAGTTTAAATTATTACTTCTATATTCTAATGTATCAAATATGTTCTGGAATCTTTATGAAAATATGCATGGAAATATTAATCTAAAAGTGTGTCTGCAGGTCTCATTCTTTAAATTATTCAAGCATTGGAATTGGCTTACAAAGATCTTTTACAAGTAAACACAGCAGTTTAAACTCTATGTATTATAATGTACATTGTATTTAGATTTAGATATATACATTCGACTCGCTTGACGCCTTGTAGGTAAATCTGAAGTTGTAAGCAAAGTTACGCCTTCGATTACTCAGCAAAAAGTATGGCAATAGAGTCCAAGAAAATGGATATTAATCTTTTCATCTGAAAATTTTCGTATGCTTTTAATAGAAATAAAAATGTGAGATATTTTGATTTTTTCAAATAAGTATGGATAAATAAACTTTTCCTTACCGTTTGATGATCATAAGAAGTAACGCTAACCTTTAGACTTGCAGACCTGACTTCTTCTTTCTGTTAAAACAAAGGATAACAAACAGCTGATGTCTTATATATAAAGGCATCGCATCGTAAAGTTCATAGCACGAGTACCAGTGTCGGATTACGACTATTTTAATTATTTTTTGAATTAATTATCATTTTTATTTGCAAATTATGTAATATTGATAAGATATTACTGCAAAAACAAAACATTTTTTTCTGAGCCTTTTTTTCCTTTCATTTTTTAACATATTTATTACAATACAGGACGGTATAAGACAAGAGGAAATTAAAATCAGCAGGAGTTCATAACATTACTCTCTGCTATTTATCTCATAAATTCTTATATAAGCATATAAATGTATAAAGCAATCAAAGGGGCACAAAATGAACGGTTATTCAAAGTAAGTAATAAAGACTCAAACAGTGATATGACAAGGGAGAATTACATCGTACATGTTCGTTGCTGTTGCTATAATATGTCCTTAAATCAATCAAATAAAATAGAAAAATAATGACAAATCCTTCATGTTTTTCTGTCTTGTCATCGGTGTAAATTGTGCATTTTTTTATTCTTAATTAAGATTTATCTTTTAAAATAAGATTGTTTTTTTAACATGGAACATATGGAAATATCGAACAGTAATCAATATCAAAGGTCCATAAAACAATACAAAATAAGAGCTGAGAGCAAACACGGACCTCCAAAGCATCAGAGGTGGGATTAGGGATCATGAAATATATGGAGATAAAGAAGAGTACTAAAGTACAAAATCTTTAAACGATTCAAATTTGGAATAGAGCAATCACAGACCTCCAAAAAAGAGATGGGACCTATTCCTTGCAACATTGTTTCATTCTACATGTAATTGTAATGCTTTTGTCATAATGAATTTAACGTAATGTTCCAACTTCTTGATCAATATATATAGGGTTCAAATCGGGTGTGATCTGTCCGCAGATGATGCGCACTCCTCCTGGGCACCTGCTCTCACCTTTGTAATTTTCACAGTTTAAGTCCATGTTTTTGTCCTGTTCACATATTTGTACCAGGTATTGTTTGTATTAAGAAATGTTAGAGAAATAGTCTCTACCAGCTATTTTCGAACTAAAAGTAGCTCTAAGCAAATATCAGAAAATATCATAAAGCACACTATAAGGAAGTACATGTATAGATCAGTAATTATCAGATACAACAGGTATTATCAGTAACAACAGTAAAACATCTAAAATATATTTTTTAAAAATCAAATATCAATAAATGTAAAAAAAAAAAAATTCAGAAAGAAAAAAAAAAGAGAAAAAGGAACTAATATTAATTTACAGGTCAGTATTCAGATCCAGGACGAAAAGCAAAACCAAACAATCAAAGAAAGGAAGAAAGCGGGGACATATTCAACCAGTCCAGTAGTCTTAAATATATTTCACACTTGAAGGAAAATGAAGGAATGTTATAGAGTGACTTTGTCATAGTCCAATTTATTTCCTTGCAAGAAGATTGTGAAATTTAAATATTCGTTTGCTTGAATTCCTGAATTAAAGTATTTTTCGAAGAAAATAAAACTGTATCATATTAAATCCATCTGAGAAAAAGGTAAGTTCTTGATTTTTATAAATTCCATTTAATATTCAAAGAATACGTATAACCTAATTCCCCATTTATTTGAATAAGAAGAAAGAAGATCAGTTATGTCTACAATTCTTTTATCAAAGTAGAGATAAACAATTAATTGAGAGCTAGTAAAAGATACATGTATGCACGGAAGCGTAAAGAAATCAACACGTGTTGTATTATAACTTTGTATATGATCTGATATATACAGAAAGGAAAAAGAAACGCAGGGTAAACTTTTGAGGTGTATTAAATTAATTTTTATTTTTCCAGTGTTCCTATCTAACTTTTAAAATCATTTTTAAGGTAGGATTCTTCTCTGGTTTCTGACTAGATGAAACATTCAAAGTATATTTGCTTATATGTCTTATATAATTAGGTGTAAGGGATTTAAAAGACCATATTTTTCTTTCCTCATCAGAATTGTACAACTTTAAATAGAAATGGTAAACTGCGTTTGAAAACTAGCAGGGACTATATTTTTGGCGGAATGGTGGCGCATGAAAATATCTTCTTTTCTGCCTCTCAAAATTATGAAAGAACAATGAATTTAGTTATAATTTTTACACAATAAAAGACTTGAAGAAATTGTCAAATGGAAGTTAAATTAATTGTTACGGACTAAACTTTCTAAATATATCAAATAAATATGATTTTTCAAGCAAACTAGAACTATGTAAGCTTTTAAACGCTTCCAATCAAAGTACAGATTTGAGCCAAAAATCCATAAAAAGTACTTTTTCTCTCTTAGTAAACGATCAAAACGTTTTGTTTTTGTATCATTTTGTACATTTATAAGACAACTTTATTATATGTGAAAAGAAGAAAAAGTTAAATATAGGAAGCTTATAAAAAAACTCATATTTCCTTAAAAATTAAGAAAAATAGAGAAAATTCGGATTAGCGAATATCCAGTTTTAAATTAGTTAAATCATTTATGTAAATTTGGTAATATCATGCTATAGACCCGAAATGGTAATATCTTTGTATGCAAAAGAAACAATCTTTATTTTTTTGAAATAGAAGTAGGCATCACATGATTGGCAACAGTCCTTTTGTCAAGGAAAAAGATTATGACCTTGACCTGACCTTGCCTCTAATATAAAAGGGTCAAATTTAATATCACTGATACTATCACTTACTGATATTGTCTTCTTGATTCTGTGAAAATTTCATTACTTTTTAATACAAGAAATATGAGAAGAATCCTACCTTAAGAAAATGTAATAAAAATTTCATCTGATTTTTTCTGATAATTCATTGGTTTTTGAAACTCATATGACGATAACGCCCAAAAGTAAAAATCGAATTAAAATGATGTGCGATATGATATTATTTAGCGTGTTCGAAAATTTTTCCTTAAAAGTCACGTGGTTACATAAGGTATAAATAGTAAGGCCATGCGGTAGTACGGCACTCTAAGCTCGCTCGCTAGGATTTAAAGATTACATGTAGTATGGCTGATAGTGATGCAATGGAGTGCAATGAATTTGGGCTATGCAGTTGCATTATTTAAAGATGGTTAGCGGTGTATAATTGAATAAAAACACTAGCGAGCAGCGTTCCTATTTAATATGTGTTGTGTTTTATTCATTTAGCACTTCATTAATTTATATTTGGACGAACAAAATGAGGGAGAATATGAAACTCGTTATCTTCAGTGTCTCCCTCGCGCATTTGTTACATCCTTGATGCCCCT